AAGAGATGGAGTGGCTGGGGAATTGAGATCCAGAGAGGGAAAGGGGCTGTGTGCTGAGGACCTTGTGGGAGGGTGGGCAGGCTTGTAGGGTATACCCTTTGGTTGGGTGATGATGCATGGACGGGATCGTAACTATGGCAATGAAAGGATGTATGATAGAATGAATGTAAAACTAATATTCTCCCATGTAAACTATCACTCAATTCAAAATAAAAGCTTTATATATATATATATATATATACCAAAAAAAAGCCAATGAAAAGTATGCCTCTTTCTGGTAAGTCTGAGGTCTTACTTGCCCAGTGAACCTTAATTAGTGAGTGGCAGAACCAGACTTGAACCCATGCTGCTTCTCATATGTACAGATACTGAGGAGTGATAGGCCTGTGAACCTTTGTCACAGGGAACTCTCTGGACATTCATAAATAACTGAAAAACATGACTTTTTTATATATCAGTTATTGAAGACCTTCTGCCAGACTCTCTCTGATACCTAAATACAAAAAATGATGACGATATAATCTCTTGAGGACTCTTCAACTATATTGTTAATATCAGTATTGTTAGACTCTGTTAAAAACCCCATGAGGAGAAATATAAGTTTATTCAATTTTGTCACATCTCAGCATAGCTTCAGTTATACTTTATTGTAGACCATGACCAATGTATAGTATATTTCAGTGTCAGGCAGGAGTTGATTATGTAGGGAATATTACTTCTTAGGGGGCATGGTGTCTCCATATGATAAGTACTAGACTGTGAACTACAAGGTCAGTGGTTCAAGCCCACCAGCCTCTCGTGGGAGGCTTTCTGCTCCTGCAAAAGAAAAATTTTAAACCTCGGAAACCTTATATAGGGTCTCTATGAGTCAGGATTGATTCACTAACACTTAACAACAACAAATCACTATATAGTCATAACATTATGTAGAACAATTAAGAAAACAAGTTTTGAAAAATTGGTGTTATTGAAATATCTTCAGTATGAGAAGATTAATGAGGACTATATAAGCTATCATATTTATTTATATACATACATACATTACAGTTATATTGTTGTTGTTATTAAGTTCAGCCACTGGTTTCTAAGGAGTGCCTGGTTGAGTTTGAATCACTGACCTTGCAGTTCAAACTGACTTCGCAGTCCAGTACTTATCTAACATGTTATGCATATACATTAGAAACTATATAGATATATCTTTCTCCAAGGACAAATTCTGGCAGGGGGTTGTGGAGGTGTTGAATGATATATATTATATATATAATTGTAGGATTTAAGTTTGTACTCTTATATTTATTTATTTATTTGTGCTGTTTTATACTGATAGCTACTTTTAGGGTAATACTATACAAGTACCACATTGTTTCAAAACTTCTGGCATTACTGCTTCATGAAAGTCTGGATTCAGGAGAAAAATCGAGCATTATTCTTACTCTTGGACATTGCACAGAGGATTGTGGTAAGTACTGGATTTATTTAGTGTGTTTATTAACACAAAATAGAAATACACTTTTGTTTTTTGCTTTATGAAAAGGAGCCCAGGTGGTACTGTGGGTTAGCCATTGGGCTGCTAGCCACAAGGTCAGCAATTCAAACCTACTGACCTCTTCATTGGAGAAGTATGAGGTTGTGTGCTCACATAAAGATTGACAATCTCAGAAACCTTGTATAAGGTTGCTATGAGTCAGAATCACCTCAATTGCAGTGGGTAGTTGCGTGAAAGGCCTAGAAATGCTGTCTTTTCACCAGGCACTCTGATCCAGTTGTTTGAACTCCCCCTCCTCCTCCATTCGTTTACCTGTAGTCAGTTACTGAATTCTGTGGACTTGCTTCTGTTTACTCCTCCTTATTCTTTACTGTCTAATTCCAGTACTGCCCTCCCAGTTTAGGCCATCAGCCCCTCAACATCTTTCACCAGTACGTATCATTACAATTTATTCCTCCCTGTGTTCTTTATTCCTATCTCGACTTTTCCATCTACTCTTTACGCTACTGCCCAGAACAAATTCTATTCTCCCCTGAAAACCTACTAAGAGTCTGTCTCTCTTTGCCTACTGCTCTCTTCTCAATCTAGTCTTTTTTTTCCTCCGTTTGCAATTTTCTCCCTCTCCACTCAGTACCCGCTCTCCCTGCTCACTAGTTCTCACTTTTCTCTAGCTCTGTGTCCACTCTCCTCCCACTCTCCCTGTCTTCTCTCCTCCACCTTTCCAGCCCTCTGCACTTTACTGTTTTCTTTCAGTCTACTGCATCCTTGTCTGTCTTAACTCCATCCTTTTCCCTATCCTACCTTTGTTCTCCCTTGCTTCTTCCACTCTTTCCCTTCCTTCTTCTACTTCATCAATTTGTCTTTCTATTCTTAACCTCTGTGTAATTTAGTTATTGCACTGTAGGATAATCGCTGGATTGCTAACTGCAAGGTTGGCAGTTCAAATCCATGAGCTGCTCCTTGGAAACCTTATACAGGGTTGCTATGAGTCAGAACTGATTCAAAGGCACTTGATGGCAGTGGGTTTGGATTTGGGCTTTTTATACTTTAAAAATGGAGCCCTTGTGGTGCAGTGGTAAAGTCCTTGCTAATATAACAACAACAATAACAGTAAGGTCAATAACTTAGCAGTCACTCTCTAGGAAAAAACACTTGGTGATCTGCTTCTTTAAAGATTAGTGCCTAGGAAACCCTATGGAACTGTTCTACTCTGTCATATAAGGTGGCCATGAGTCAGAATCAGTTCGATGGCATACGATACCATGTTAGCACTGTAAAAGCCAACAAATAAATGAAGGCAAATTGTTTACTATTACGGATTATGATGCTTCTCTATGACTGACTGTATTTTAGAGATAATTTATGACATTTAGGTGTTTTGTGTTGAGTAGATCAATCCCTAGATTGAAAATACTTTTTAAACTATTTGTTCTTTATTTTTTAATTTAAAATATATTCAGAGTCATCACAAGGAAATTATGACCTCATGGTAAAATAATTGACTTCAGCTTTAACTTTTTATATGTTTTTCAGTGGAAAATCAGTATGACCTTTTTAAAAACAATGGGCTTCCACTTATGATACAAGCCTTAACGGAATCTCAGAATGATGAACTCAACAGAGCTGCCACTTTTGTGCTTCACAACTGCAAAAAAATTTGTAAGTTTGCTATTACTATAGGAAAATACTAATCAGAGTTTATAAAGGAATTTCTTTCTACTGTAATAAGCCAAGTCCCTTAATCAACCAGGCTCTTCTCACATTTGGAAATCAGAGCATTTAATTTGGATATGAAAACTAGGCAGGTACAAATTTATATGAAACAGAGCCAATGGTACAAATAATTCACTTATTTTATGCTGCATAGACAAAGTTTTATAGGACTTAAATTCGGATGTTAAGGGTGATTTATTATACAATCAAAGTATAAACTACATTTGTTTATTTATTTTAAAAGTGTTTGAGTTCCTATTTGTGCTATGCACTGTGCTCAGCACTGGGATACAGTGATAACTGTTTGTATACTCCTAGAGAGTGGGTTTGAACCGCAAGGTCGGCGGTTCAAACTTACCAGCCACTTCTCAGAAACCCTATACAGGGACCTTGTGGGTTGGATCTGACTCAACACTTAACAACAACAAGAGGGTAGTTTGAGGTTGATTTGAACTGCAAGGTCAATTTGAACCTCAAGGTCTGCAGCTTTAACTTACAAGCTGCTCCTCAGAAACCTTATATAGAGTTTCTATGAGTCGGAACCAACTGAACAACACTTATAACAACAATAGAGTTTAGTTTAACTGGAGAAGTAGACAGTAACTGAACAATGTCAAAAATGAATTCATTGTTAAAAATTGACAAAAGGGTTATTATGAAGGGGTGGCACACAGATCTTTGAGAGTAGCAATCTTACCTAGACTTGAGAAAGCTTAAGTGGAAGTGAAGCTTGAGCCGAGATCTGAGAGTGTAGTGTTAATGGATGAAAAGAAAGGAATTTGTGTTATCTGAGAGTCTTAGACACAAAGGCCCTGTGGGCTGTGGCATTCAAGGAACCATGGCCAGTGAGGCAGGAGCACAGGGGACAGAGACTGTCGTAAGGATTTTAATCTTTGTGGAAAAAAACAACTGTTCTGACTCAATATCTGAAAGGATTTTAGGAATTTAAAAGGAAAGAACCACTTTATTTAAACTGTTAAAAAAGAAAACAATTAATTTAAAACTAGTATCTAAACACCTGGAAGTGTTTGTATGTTTGGCATAACTTATTTTCATGCTGTTTTCCTTCCTGGAACTTGGAAGGATAAAGTATAATTTATAACTATATGGATCCTGGGTCTTGGTCAAGTACTTTTTCCACTAATTTTCAGTACCAGTAAGGCAGTTAAGGCAATCAGGATGAGCAAAATTTAGAGAAGATGATATCTGAGAATGTTCTTATGAAAATCATTAAAAATAGCATTTCTAATAATAGATAAACTCACCATTTCCCTCCCTGTATTACAAAGCTGAGAAATTGTCTCTAAATCCAGAAGAATATTCTTTTAATAAAAATGGAGCAGAACAATGTAACAACATAAATGTGAAAGAGAATCTTCAAGAGTACTGGAAGAAAGCAAAGGAAATTCTACACAGAATAAAGCAGTTTGAAAGAGAAGATGAGGTTGGCTACTTTGTTTCCAAGAATATAGAATTTTTTTCAAATGTTTTTTTTACAGTGGAGGTTGGAGGGTACACTTATTTTTCTTGCCAAGTTAAAAATTGTTAATAGTTTTAATTATAAAATTCAGTAATAATATTTGAAGAATCATTCTAGAGCTTGGAATAAAAAGTATTGTTTTTTTTTTTTAATTGGAAATATAAGTGTAACAATAAGAGACATGGAAGATAGAAGCAAGAGAGATAACATCCGTATGATGAAAGTTCAGAAAAAAGGAAGGATACAGAATTACCTATCTATCTGTCCTTATACACACACACTCTCTCTTTCACATTTTTATCTGTATATGTACATACGTGTCTTTTTATGTATGCTTATTTTTTTAAAAAAGTTAGTTTTCAAGTTAGTGTTATAATTTCATTGTTGTATGTTACTGAGTAATATTCTATAGTGTTGGTGTGCCATAATTGATTTAGCTAGTCCTTTACTATTGAACGTAATATTTTACCCAAATAACCACCTATATAAACAACTCTAGGGTAAAATCTTGATATACAAGGGGCTTTAAAAAATTCATGGAAAATACAATTAAAGATAATAGAACTTTTCCACAGATTTTCAGAAGCCTCCTTGTGTAGGTATAATTTTAAATAGATATTTTTTATACTTAATTTATATTTATATTTTTGTAACAGCTTTATTGAGATGTAATCCATGTCCTATATAACTCACTTATTGAAAGTTACAATCCACTGATTTTTTTGTACATTCACATATGTGTACAACTATCACTCTAGTCCATTTAGGGCATTTTCATAGCCTCACAAAGGGATGATGAAAAGTTATCACACTCCGTTGTTCGTACTCTCCCACCCCCAGCCCTAAAGCAACTACTCATTTACTTGCTGTCCATTGATTTACCTGTACTAGACATTTTGTATAAATGGAATCCTATGTAGTCTTTTGGGACTGGCTTTTTTCACTCAGCATAATATCTTCAAGGTTCATATTATAGCATGTATCAGAACTTTATTCTGTTTTATTCCTACATAATATTCTGTCATATAGACAGGCCACACTTTGTTTATCTATTCCTCAGTTAATGGACATATTCTTCTATTTTTAACTTTTCTATATTTTTATACTTAGTATGGGTTTCTTGTAAATAGCATATAGTTTAGTCTTTTTAATCCTGCCTGACAGTCTCTTCCTTTTCATTGGTGTGATCACGTCATTTGCACTTAATGTAATTATTTGATGTTTAGATTTAAGTCTACCATCTTGCTATGTTTACTGTTTGTCCCATATGTTCTTTATTCTTTTTTTTTTTGTTGTTGTTGTTAAGTAATTTATTGCATCTTGAACTATTAGCTAAGCATTTTTGTTTTATTTTTTCAGTGGGTTCAGATTTATACTATATTTCTTGGTCTGTAGCAAAATTTTAAAAATTTTTATGTAATTAAATATATTAGCTTTTTCTTTTATGATTTTTGGTTTTGTGTAACACTTGGAAAGGTATTCCTTTGAAAATATTAAAATATCGTGGTTTCTTTTAGAGCATATATAATTTTACTTATATATTCCATTTACTTGAATGCTTAGTTCTTGTCAACTTTATCTTTATAAATTGTGAGATATGAATCCAATTTATTTTTTCAATCTAGATACCTATCAATGACTTCAAAACCAATCTTTGAATAAATCCCCTGTTTCTTACTAATATGAATTTCCCTAATCATATCCTAAGGAGCTCTGGTAGCATAGTGGTTACGAATTGGGCTGCGAACCGCAAGGTCAGCAGTTCGAAACAACCAGCTGTTCCACTGGAGAAAAATGAGGCTTTCTGCTCCTGTAAAGATTTATAGCCTCGGAAACCCTGTACAAGGTCACTATGAGTCGGAACCGACTCCACGGCACATAACAACAACAATCATATCCTGTTGGTAATCATATTCCTATTGGCAATCATAAACTGTTTTTACATTATTTAAAGGGAATATAAGTTCAATAATAAGGCAAATGAATTCTCTCAAAATGATTTACTTGTCATTTTTACTCCTTAGGGACACATAGAAAGAAACAACTATAAGGCTAGTGTTTCACCTGTGAAGTTAAATACAAAGAAGTTCCTCCATGCAGATAATCCTGATAGAGGTACACAAGCAGAAGATGTGGATAAAAGCCAGTCTAGTCAGCCTCAGAACTGTAAATCCCATGGAGTTATAGCTAAAGCGTGTACACGTGTTGACCAGATGCACACTCTGTTGAAGAATGCAAATCCAGTCAGCGCTTGCTATAGGGAAAGCAGGAAAAATAAGACTTTACTTAAGGCCAATTCAAGCTGCAATCAAAACTTAAATGAAAAAACAACTTTTGAAAGAGATACTTTTGCTTCTCAGTCAAGGTATAGTTTAATCACTGTTTCTGATTTTTACTTATACAGCAAGTACTTGTTGTATACGATGGGCCAGAGTACAAAGCAATAGGGTTACAGAAATGCTAACATACGGATGGTGTTGGGAGCAGCTAAGGTAGGACATGGTGGGGTAGGTGTGTGAGAGGGGAGGTATAGGTCAGTTCATCTAGGGTCTGGCATGTCATACTCATTTTTTTCTTAAAGCACAGGGCATAGGGTACCATTGAGGACTTCAAGTTGAATGGCATGATTAGATTTGAATTTTAGAAAGTGTATTCAAAACAAACTGAAAGTGTATTCAAAATAAGCTGAAAGCCTATACCTGAAGTCATAGATTGATAAGTCATCAGCAATATAGCAAACACCAACATACAAGTGTAATATAATAAAGGGAATCAATTTGTGGTTAGTGTGTGATGAAAATCGGGCTTGGGCTTACCCTTTCATTTGCTCCTGCATCTCATCTCCAGTAGATACAAGGGGGCTTCAAAACGTTCATGGAAAAATTCAATGAAAAGATAATGAAAATTTTCCATGAACGTTTTGAAGCCCCCTTATATCATATTTTCCCCTTACACAGGTGGCCTTTGGTACTAGATCCAGAGATGTAGCTTTTCTTAACCCTTTTTTTCTGCTCTCCTCTGATGGTTATTGTGCTAAGTAAAATGAAAGAAGATGCTGCTGTGCTCTGGGCACGTTGCTGTAAGGAGAGTGGGCAAAATACCACCACCACCACCACCATTTCCACTTCTTCAAGACCGTTGTTGATCATTTTAGCTAGATTTCTCAGAGATGTAGAATTGAAAAACAGTGAGGTACACTTTTAAACCAGTCTTCTCTTCCTCTGACTTTCTACCCATATCCTTCCTCAGTTAGAGTTAGCCTAACTTCCACCTGCTATTACTATTTCAGTATGAATGTTAACTGATCATTAATATTTTCAATTTCTTTAAAATCATATCTTTTCTCCTGTGTAGTTCCTCCTACTAATACAAGGAGGCTTAAACATTTGAGGAAGAATTCCATTATCTTTTCATAAAGTTTTCCCACAACTTTTTGATGTCTCCTTATATATAGCTATAGGAAAAGATACATATAGCTCTAGTAGTCTGTCTCTAGGAGCTCTGGTAGCGTAGTGGTTATGAATCAGGCTGCTAATCTCAAGGTCAGAAGTTTGAAACTACCAGCTGTTCCATGGGAGAAAGATGAGACTTTCTGCTCCCATAAAGATTTACAGTCTCGGAAACCCCATGCAGGGTTGCTAGGAGTCGGAAACAACTCCAAGGTACCACCACCACGATAGCAATTTCTGTATCTTTTCTGGTCTATGGCTTTTTCTTCACTACCTGTTAGCATTATAGAAGTTTACTCATAACTTACATTTACTCATCTAGGAGCACAGGGTTCAAATATAAAGATGTTTTGGGAGTCGGGAAGGGTTTTTAAATGCTTAATGTCTAATCCTTAAATAATTGTCAGTACTTTGCCATCTTGCACCCATACTCCTTTTTCCTCCCTCTGATTTTCTTCTCTTCTTTTTAGCTCTGGTTCCTTCCTCCTTTCGTCTTTTAGTTTGTTTGGTTAGTGTTTTCTTCCATGGTTCTCCTGGCATTAGTACTGTTGTTCTCTGGAGTCCTGTTTCACTCCAGTCTGGAAGCAAGGCTTTGGCAGAACTTGGTAGGTTTGTGCAGATCCTGGCTCTAGTTCTTTCCGTCAGACCCCTAGAATTATACCACTGATCACAGAATTATCTGTCCACACACCAAGAATGTTTACCTTTAGTAATCTAGTGTCTTTTTTTATTTTTATTTTTTTTTAGTGATTGTACTTTTAAACATCCAACTCCCATCATCAAAAATAGAAAACAGCAGTTACCAGTAACAGGTATGATTGAAATGTTTTTTCTTTGGTATTTCAAGAAAAGAGATATTTAAGTGACTGATCAGCTAAAACTGTACATAGGTATATATCTACCCTGTAATATATAAGCCATTCCTATAACTCTTTTTCTGGTGTTAATCCCTCAGTCACCTTTTATTGATATCCATAATCTTTCTGGATGTGTGCTAAAGTTGATGAAAACATTGAGAATCAATCTTGGAAATGCCAAGTCCTTTTCATTAATCAAAAAAAAAAAAAAAAAAAATCTTGCATTTTGCCATTTTTCCAGATCCATTTACGTTATGTTCAGACATAATAAATAAAGAAGTCACCAGTTTTCTGGCAACTGACAGTTGCTCCAAAATGTTGAAGTCCAGGTGCTCAGGTAACTATTTTTTCATTGCAGCCATTTCATAATTAAAGCTTTATATGATATTTGTTGGTATTGTTAAGTGTCATTGAACTAGTTCCGATGAAACTAGTTCCAACATACAGGGTTTCTGAGGAGCAGCTATTGAGTTTGAACTGCCAACCTTGCAGTTCACCCTGACCTTATAGTTAAGTGCTTATCCTTCAGTGCCACACTAGGACTCCTTATATGATATTGTTGTTGTTGTTAAGTGCCGTTGAGTTGGTTCCAACCCATAGCGACCCTGTACAGGGTTTCCGAGGGTGTAAATCTTTATGGGAGTAGAAAGCCTCATCTTTCTCCCGCGGAGCGGCTGGTAGTTTCGAACCGCTGACCTTAAGGTTCGCAGCCCGATTCGTAACCACTACGCTACCAGATTATTTAACTAGAATTTATAATAGTTCTAATTGTGTGGTTAAACTTCATTACCTTTGGAAAAATAATAACTTGGATCATCATAAAACATAAATATTGGTACCTCCTTCTTCCAGAAATATAAATCTGAATCAGGTTGAAATCCCAATACAGGCATACCTTGGAGATATGATAGGTTTGGTTCTAGATCACCACAATAAAGTGAGTATCACAACAAAGCAAGTGACACAAGTTTTTTTTGGTTTCTTGGTGCATATGAAAGTCAGGCTTTCACTATGTGTAGTTTATTAAGTGTGCATTATGATGGAAAGTTTGAAATACATGAGAGTGACCAAAGCAGGACGCAGAGACATGAAGTGAGCACATACTCTTGGAAGCTGGCACTGATAAACGTAAAGCAGAGTTGCCACAAGCCTTCAATTTGTAAAACATGCAATATCTGCAAAGCAACAATAAAGTAAAATACAATCAAATGAGGTATGCCTGCACTTGTTTGTATAAACCTATATAATAAATGCCTTTTTAGTTATTACTTTATTATTCTCTATTACATTAATATGTTTATGGTTACTGACATTTAAAACTATATTTTTTCAGAGAACCAATAAGTAGATAGGTGTTTTAGTGACCTAGTGCTGTTATAGTAAGCATACCACAAGTGAATGCCTTTAACAAACAGAAGTTTATTCTCTCACAGTTCAGGAGGCTAGAGTCCAAATTCAGAGTGCCAGCTCTAGGGGAAGGCTATCTCTCTCTTTATTACCTCTGGGGAAGGGTCCTTGCCTCCTTTCAGCATCTGCTGTTGTTGTTGTTAGGTGCCATCGAGTCGGTACCAACCCATTGCAACCTTATGCACGGCAGAAGGAAACACTGCCCGATCCTGGGCCAACCTCACTACTGTTGCCACGCTTGAGTCCATCGATGCTACCACTTGGCCAATCCATTTCGTTGGGGGTCTTCCTCTTTTTCTCTGCCCCACCACCTTACCAAACATGATATCCTTCTCCAGCGACTGGTCCCTCCTGACAATATGTCCAAAGTATGAGAGACGAAGTTTGGCCATCTTGACCTCTAAGGAGCACTCTGGCTGCACTTCTTCCAAAACGGATCGATTGGTTCTTTTGGCAGCCCATGGCACTTTGAATATTCTCCTCCAACACCATA